AGTCGGTGTTTGAACGGTGCCAAAACACCACCTAGTCAACCCCCGGGAAGACCAGTGACGGAACGGAGTCTTGAACCCGACCTTTCTTTTTCTTTCTCTCTCTCTCTTCAGGCGGGAAGCAAGCACTCTACCACCTACTGGGCATGTGTGAAATTAGAAAGGACTTTTAATATAGCGAAATTCATCACACTGTTGGCAGCTCTGCTTAATTGCAAGAACACGCCTACACGAAATATAATTTTGAACACTGAGACCTCGTACACACCGTGGCTGTAAGTCAAATTTGGCAGCACACTAGTGCGTGCCGCTATAGTTCGATGCATTGTGTATGTACAGTTTAACGTAGTATTGAGCTGTACGATCCCGGAGTTGTGTTTTATCGAGCCTAGAGATTTTGCTGTGAGAGCACAATCTTCAGGCAGCTGCTCAATACTACGTTCAACTGTTGTTACAGGATGTATTGAACTATAGCAGCGCATGCTGACTTTGAACTTATCTCGCAGGCACAGTTTACGACCCTTTAGTGTTGGAAATTATTTTCTGTGTATCCAACTGACATCATCATCGTCATCATCATGTCGTCAGCACGCAATACTCGTACTTGCTCCGATCTCAACCCAGCGTTTTCCACGGGTCTTCCTCCTGCGAAGTGACGATGTAACCCCGACGCGATCCGGAAGCCGAAGCAGACCAATCTCGTGCTTATTCAGCGCGAGTTAGAGGATCAGTGCTTCCCCGGCAGTCGTCTTGGGCAATTTTAGCATAAGGTGGGAACACTCAATCACACTCTCTGCGGGCCTGACACTGCCGAAAAGCCAAGAAATTCTTCTCAGCTGGCCGGTTTTCTCGGTTTGTAGTGAGCTGGTTGTGAGAAAAATTTTTTTGCATGAATCGTGTCATGCATACCTTATGCTGGAAGGCCGAGACGATGACCACGGTCGGAACTTTTGTCGGGAAGCTGGTCGTGTGTCACGACTGACCGGATTGAATGTGCAACCCATTCAATCCGAAGTCGCTGTCGGGATGAAATACTATCCTTGGCTGTGTCTGGGTTGCGGCATACTTCACAACCATGCAAAGAAAGGAGTCCTTGAGATCGATCAATTTATACGGGAAAACGTCTGGGTCGAGATTGGATCAAATATACCGTGCATCTCCGTTAGGCCACATAGGTAGGCTGGGTCGGGTAGGGAAGTAGGGAAAAGATGGAAAAGTTCAAGGTTATATACGGTGCGCTACCACCCCAACGCCGGCCAACCGATCGCGTTGAAAAATATTCACTTCGACCCGGGGTCGGACGAAAGGACGACTTGATCGTCTTATACCGGTGACCTCGGCGCTATTCCAGGCAATTGCGGCTAATCAATGTCAAAGGCAATTACAGCAGCCAGAGTCAGTGGAAAGGGAAATAACAAAAGGTACGCTTGCTACCGAAAAACAGCTCTTAATCGAAAAGAAACGGCAACTCGATCAAGAGCGCTTGAGATATGAGGAGCGCTGCAAGGTATTTGAGAGAAAAAATCTTCCCGAACAACGCGCTGTTGGTCAACGACAACCTGAGCAGCAGGAAAACAACTTTGTCAACAACAACGCCAGCTACAACAGCATCCACAGCAACTCGAAGAAAGTGGGGACGATGAAGAGTTGTTGAGCTTGCTTTTACAAATCGGCGAAGAGGAACAACTAGTAACGCCACAAGTTAAAAGAGGGCAACAACGCGGTGCAAAGTCCCCACCAGCACCTGCCGAGCCACCTAGAAAAAAACAGGCTATGTTGGTACGCTTTTTTGGGACAACAGCAACGAGAGCAACGACAACAACTACAACAACAACAACTTTGACCAAATCTGCAGCGGTAAAACTGTACCACCACGCCACGCGGAACGACTCTTCGCCGAGGCAGAAGACCGCCTCATAGTCGCTAGCGTTCTGCATTTGCACAAGAACAAGATCTCTCAAGATTGGTCGAAATTGAAAAATATTCCGCAACTGCAACACAAAATGACGATTGCATTGAGGAACAGGGCCAAAAAATTGTCGAGTGAGAAGCCACTTTCCTACCTTGTGGGGCTTGGCCTATCAACAGGTGATGCCAACGCCTACAAGAAAATCTACAAAAAAAATAAGACTAAACAGTGGAATAGGTGGTTGGAACAGTGGGGAAGTGCGCGAAGTGACACTCAATAAGTGCGCGGGACGCTAAAAATAAACATGTAAACATTGTGGGGTTTTTAATGGAGATTAGAGGCAAAGGGGAGTGGGGAGGGACACGATACACGGCAAAAGTGGGAGAGACTTGAGTTAATAAACAATGGTGTAGTTGACGCGCACTGATCTTGATACCACTTATACGTACACACACACATACACACTAACGGGGATGACATAGGAGGGTGGAGGCACGGAAGGGGTAGGTTACGTGGTAAAATAGGGCTACTGGCGAAGGTCCACGTGGTGGAAGGTCCACGTTAAAAAAACCTAACGCGCCAATGACTGGTGGCCTCAATGGTGGTGCGGAAAACTAGTTCAGTCCCTGTGTAATACGTAAAGATGTAAAAGCAAAAACAATTATAAATTCAAGTGATATGGAAATTGTATCAAGTAATAAACATATTACACTGAAAATTTCCGTGCGGGGTTTCGACTACTTCCCCCCATCGGACGCCTCCCCGGGTGGCGGATAGGGGACTGTCCCCTAGATATAGGGGGTACCGGCTCAACAACCAGGGCTGACCAAAAAGTAGTCGCGGGGAGGGTCACACTTCCCCAAACAACAAAAACCATGGAGTACACCATTATAAAAAACAACGCTACCGTCCAGGGGGATTCGGAAACCCTAGGGCCGGCGGCTGTGCCAGCAGGAGCACAGGCGTCGTCATCCAGCGACCGCCCGGCGATTGTGGAGGACCAGGCAATCGTCGGAGTTGATGCTACTGGAAGGCTAGAGGAGACAACCTCGGAAAAAAAAACAGCATGATAGGGATACACGACTACGGTGCGAGTTGCCGTCTATGCCGAGGCTCGACGAGGAAGATGATACATCTAGAGAAGGCACCAATCCAAAATCCAACGTGCTCGGCGATTTGTGTGCCGAACTTAGGATTGAGGACGACGGCTGGGCCTATGAGGAACCAGAAATTGTCATGGTGATTGCTCCACGCGACGTCACCGAAGCTGATGTTGCGACGGTGAACGAACCTGCTACACCGACAACATCAACGGTTAACTTGCATAAAGACCTCGCTCTCTCCGATGACGATATGACGAAGAGGATGGCGTCGTGGGGCAAGTAGCGATGCAGGTTGACGCTACAGACGCGGAACAAAAGCAGGAAGACACCGCCACGGAGGAAGCACCAACGACTTGTGGGCACAGGTTATGGCGGTTGTACGGATGCCGTCGATGGACGAAAGATTTCTACGATTGTACACCAACCAGCAGGGCGTCGATAAAATTACGGCAATTGCCAAGCTGCCGCATGCCCCTATGGGAGGTGATCGAGGGGGCCGTCGCCCTAGCCACACGAGAAAATTAAAAAGAAAGCCTTGGCACCTGACTTAACGGGGATAAAATAGGGCAACGGATTAATCCGGGGTTAAATGACAAACTTTACAAAAACGGAAAAAAAAAAAAAAAAAAAAAAAAAATTAAATACAAAAAACTTTCTAAGGAGGACGGAAGGACGGGTGGGGGAAAGGGAATACAAATGGTGGTTGGAGGAAGGATGGGGGAAGGGACGTGGAGCAGCTATTCATTCTTACTTTTTCGTATATCTACACGCGCGGGGGGGGGGGGGGGGAGATCAAAATTCATCAAAACAAATGAAGAAAACCCAAAAAAACAAAATTTTTTTAATGATAAAAACAGACTTTTTTACCGATCGAACAAAAAAAATACACCCCTCGAATCGTCTTGTTTTGTTCTTTCTAAAAATACCCTTTCACCCTGGTTTATCGGATCGACAGTACTACTATTCAAAACAAACACACGAAAAACTATATTTTTCAGGATTTTGAGTTTCAAAAGGGCCGTTGCAGGGTCTAAGTCGGTCCGACTGGACTAAATTGGGGCGCATTCGATAGAGGGCGCGAAAATCTTCAATATCGCGGCGGTTCAAGCGAGATCCACCGAAGCAGCCGGGCTAAACCCAATAACCCAATAATAACTTGTATAAATAAATGGTTGCGTGATTTGAAATGCCGTTGTCTTCAAAAGTCAATAATGAATCTGTTGGAATTATTAAACGTCATAATTAAAACTAGTTAAAAACTTTTATTGATGATGAGTTTGACCAAGCATTTTTTTTGACGTATATATTTATACACACAAAAGTTTGATGAAAATTGTTCAAGGTTTACAGGACCACAGATCCACTTTCGAAAGTATGCAGTAAAAAAACAGATGATACGCCATAAGCTATTTGGAAATATACCGCAAATATGAATGCATACGAGAGACATGTATTTATATATATACGATTAATAAAATTTATTTCTTCGTGGGGCAGTTGAAGCTCTTTGTACAAAAGCATGTTCTTCTCATTTATCTTACTTATGCGTCAAACAGCCAGTATTTACAAATTAGCAGAGTTAATAATAATACAGTCTACGCAACGAAATGGGTCGTGATAGCACATGATTTAATAATGCTGCGTTGTATATGTTTTTTATTGCCACACTAGGTACGTATAGCTCGAGCCACATTATTTTTCTTATTCGTTCTTATTTAAATACATACTTGGTTGTCTTTGATAATTGCAGCGCACTTGAAATCTATGTAACAATTGAAGTAAATTATAAACAAAAATTTGAGTGGCAGTTTTATCGCAAGAACGCAACAAGTCTTTTGAGTTTAATCATGAATATATATAGTTGCTACAGTGGCTGTAGCATGAAAAATGTAGTTTCAAAAAGTCAAGAGGAAAGCATGTATACACACATTAACTATAAATAATTTCTTGTTATTGCAGTTGTATTAAAAAAAAAATATATATATATTTTCGTTTTTTTTTTTTTTTTTTTTTTTTTTTTTTTTTTTGTGCATTATTGCACCAAGTTTAACAATAATACTCAACGTTTAAAATTCAATTCATCTAGATTCTATACAAACAGACAGACATCCATGTATAAAATAATTAAGAAAATTATCACGAAACGACTACGATGACAGTTTAACACATTTTGTACAAATGGGTATTCTTTTTCAAGAAAATATAGTTTATAACGAATATGTACACTTGTAAGTATTTGTTTTTTAATTATATGAAACTTTAGGACGTCAAGCAATGTTTGATGAAATGAAAAAAAAAAAATACAATAACTCTTTGTATGCAAAAACTTAGTGTGTGTTTACTTGAGGTCTTAAAAATTTGTTCATCAGTCTTAATGTTTGATAAAACTTTAAGAATATTTTAGTAATAGCAGGGGCTTGGAAATGCTATTAACAGTTCATTACAAATAAAGCATCATTATTAACTGATTTTTACTCGCCTCTGAATATAGTATCATACGCGCCATGATAGCAATTGAAGATAGTTGTCCAAGGCAGTATTTTTCATTCCTCTCTCTCTCTCCCTCTGAGTGTGTCATGTGAAATTTATAGTATCTGTTTTTTAAATAATGTAGAAATAATTATTTGTGTTTGCTTTTTTTGACTAATCGCGACCAATTGTTCTTTTAAGGACAAAATTTTATCAAAATTAAATTACATTCTATTTACAGATTGTTACTATTAATATATAAATGTGTATGTGTGTTTGCATGTATAAAGAGTATTTGTAGATCATAAATAACTAGTTACCAAAAAGGTGGTAGCAATCATAAATGCAAACTTTTTGTTACAACCTCACATGGTACATTGCAAATATAATTAAAACCAATATTTTTCTATAAATTAGCCCCCTAAACAATGGTTTATAATAAAGTGTAATTTTTGTTGTAACTTACAATATCTCGTCATCATTTCTTTGCATGAAAAAAAAAATTTTTATGTCGAAAAACGTTTAATCATCAGTGACAAAAAATTATTAGCATGATGATGAAAGTATTTCAACAAATAAATTTACCATTTACATCGTTCTCTAGTGTTTTCCTAATTTATTGACATTCGTGAAACGACCGTTAAAAAAAAAAGATTGTTTTTTTTTTTTTTTTTGAGATTCTGAATTAAATTTTACTCGCCTAAAGTGTTTATCTAACTGACATTTGTGAAACTGCTAAATTCTGTCAAACTTCCAAATGCTTTGACTGTTGGTGCACTATAAACGGCTCACTCCACATGCGGCGTAGATCCCCCTAAAAAGGATTTTAATGAAATTATTTATTACAATAAATGTTAAAACAGCTATGTACAAGTAGATAGTCTTGAAGATTCAGACTCAAAGCTTCCTAGTTTATCTACTTGTACGAATAAAATCCACATCCACAACAACACCTTGAGGTAAGCCATAGTGAGTAGGGGTAGCAGCGTAAAGGGCACGAGGTAGAGAAGTGCGGGTTGTGCAGCCTTGAATACTTCGGAACTAACGGTGGCCGTTAGCAGACCCAGGAAATATCCAATAAGCGAGCAGTGAAAATAGGTTATTCGATTGAGGTGCCGGGGTGGCGGGACTCCGGCCTCGCAGCCACCCGCCAAAGGTTGAGCTTTTTTGTAGGCATCGTAACGCAGTACGAAACAGAGAAGCAGCCCTGGCATCACGACGTCACCAAGGCCTAGCATCGAAAAATGGCCTGCGCGATGCATCGACGGGAACACGAGCTTACCGGGCAAAGATAATTTCGGTGCCTCCCGCGCCACACCACCTCCAAAGTGAAACCTTCGTGCGACCAGCCCAACTGGATTGTCCGCGGGACGAGTAGCTACCTACGATGCCAGAGTAAAAAGATTATGTAAATTGTTCCAACATTACTATGGCTGCTGTCAAATTGATTACCTTGACCATGACGTTGGTGCTAAAAATGTAGGAAGAGAAAAATACCCAGAAAACGTCATAAATGAGAAGACCCGTGAGCAACAATGTCGACACTTTGAGACTCGGTAAACGTACAAATGCTATAAAAGCGACGCACAAGCCCATACCCATTGCATCCATAAGTAGCCAGTGACCCGTCAATACCCAGATGCAAACTACGCTTACACTCAGTGAGAAAGACAATAATTCGGCACCAGTGAATCTGCCGCACATACCAAACGATATTTTGTTGCCATCCGAACACGGCCGTATTATGTATTGACACATTGGCAGCAGCAAAAATGCCAAGGCCACCGTTGCCATAACTATAATGATGAATTTGATTTTGTAATAAAATGATGTTTTTTTTTTTTTTTTCTTCATCACGGTAGTGCTTTTGAACTTACTTGCTGTACAAATTGCAAAAAGCATCTGCATACTGTCAAAAAAGAAAAACATGACGAGCAGAGATATGGAAGCACCAAGAGGTAGACAAAGAACGTGCATTGTGTCTAGAGTTAATATTCCTTTTCCTTGAGTATTTTCAGAGTTTGCTGTTGTCAATCCCGTCAACAGGTTAGCGCGTTCTTTTTCTTTTTCTCTCTCCCTTGCCTCTTGCTCCATGTTGAGTGATCGAAAACTACCATAAACAATAAGCAAAATCGATATCAAGTAGGTGGATACCCTTGATGAGTCCATTACAGTGTAGGCCCTGAAAATTGCATGTATTATTACTCAAATCTTCAATTTCGATTCGTACCACTTTGTACCCAAATAGGTATACCAAAAATAACACCAACCATTGGTACTCCACCTGATTACTGGCCATGTTTTGGGTTATTTATGGCCACACCATTTAGAATTTATTTTCTACAGTTTTTTCTTCTCCTCATTCTACACTAGAATTGACATCATCTACATTTTCACCTAAAAATAAAAGAAAAATTACATTAGCAAGAGTAGCTTGCATCAGTTAGTATGTGAATCGGCATTCGTAAAGTAATCACAAGTCATTGGATTTTTTTTTGTTTTACCCATATTTTTTCCAAAGGGAAAATATAATAATTAATGGACACCACAGGCTACAAGAGAGTAAAGTTTTACCGTAAACGATGACAGGAGCAATACACTACAGCCAAGATTTCCCATCATTTAAAAAAAAAATATATATATATATATAATATACATGGGTGTGTGTGTATATATATTAAGTAAATAANCTTTGAGAACTTACGGAGATAAGCCAATTAGTTTCCAAGTTGAGGAAGGTGGAGAATATTATTGCATTGGATCTGAAGTAGGCAATTACCTGCGCCTCTTTAGAGGTTTTAAGTAAATAAAATGAAAAAAAAAAAAAAAGTTTAAATAACAGTTAAAACAAAAATAGTGCTCAAGAGATAACGAAAGAAAACATAAATGTAGTCAGGATAATAATGCAAAGAAATAAATTGAACAATGGCAGTGCAGAGAAAGTGTTTTTTGCTAGGAATTATTATCCTGCAGACTCTTGTTTCAGTCATTATGCTACAAACACTACTGTACTGGCTCTTGCTATCACCGTGCACAAGTGTATTGACAAGTTTCCTAACTAACACTCACGCGAGCAGTCAAACAAGCCGTACTTTCACCGTAACACACTAGGTATAGCTGCTCCCGTTCTCTTGAAACTACTTATGAAGGCTGCTCCTATAGTAGAGCCCAAGTAGAGTAAAAGAAAAGACGAGCTCTAACCTAGCGGGGTCTGAGTAGACGGGTAACATCCTCACCGAGACGTGGGGATGATGATGATGCTGCTGCTGCTGCTGCTAGTAGTGGTGGTGGAGCAGCTCGAGCTCGCCGAAGATGAAGACAAAGCTCCATTTTAGTGTGTAAACACTGAACGTCACGTGACTGACTGCCCCCTCTCTCCGTTTAGCAGAATGATGATATATATATCCGTGAGGCCGAGCACTACATATACATAAATATGTCCTGACACTGACGGCTGATATCCTTCAATTTCAATCCACCTCGACTAAATACACGTGCAATTTGTAACACATTTCATTAATCTATAACATGTAGTTATGTGGGTTAACGTTGTACAACATGCATCATTTGTGCTCCAAAGCTTGACGACTGCTTGTCAGCAGAGTACTTGTATTTTAATGAATACCCCACTTTGCTCACAATATTTGCACGCACATTTGTCACACATTACACCCGTGCTCTCTTCTATGTTATGTATTATGCACATATCTCTCCCAGATCTCTGTCAATGCTCTTTTTCAGTATAATAGAGAGCATATACGATGGCTACCCGAGAGAATCCCGTAATGACGACACAATCGATGTTTACGATTATTGTTGTACCACCATTCAACAGAACGCCTCGGCAATTATTCCCTGAATGCTACCACTAGGTAGCCGTACGGAACGTGCTCGGCTTCATGGCGTCCTTGCGATGCACCATCGCAATAGTAGCCTTGTCGACTGCAACAATAGCTTCCTCAGGGGGCTCGCTCGCTTTCTCTCTCTGTCTGCAGTAGGTTATTATTGTCTGTCGGTTCTCGCTGATTTTAGGTATATAATATACCTAAGTATAAGTACGGCATCGGAGGATTCGGAATTCGGATTTCGGAGGGGCCAGTCGACAGTCGACACATATACTAGACACTGTCTATCATATAGGGTGCGAGGGGACGCATAGGAATCGATAAAAAATTTACTTACGTTCTTGAAGCGCATAAAAAATACAGAAAAAATATAAGTAAGTGCGCATACAAAACATTAAAAAGGATTAGGAATGTTCGGAGACCGAGATACCCATATTGATTAGGGAGCCTGTACATGGGTGTCTGAATGTCTTCGAACTAACGTTAACTGAATATTGATATAAATTGTTTTAAACAAGATAATAGGCGTCCTGTTCGTAACAAAACTATGTTACGTGATTGCATTATAACATTGGAAAGATATTTAGCCACCAAAACTTAAAAAAAATTTGCTAACGCTGAGTCGTTAAAAAGAGAGGTTATGTTGACAAAATTATTGTATTAACATGAATTGTAGAAATTTTTCATTGGATGCCTTAAAGACGTTTAACCTTATAATGTCATCACGTTACATAGTTTTATTATGAGTAAAGTGTCTATTTCCTTGTTTAAAACAAATTATATCGGTATTCAGTTAACATCAGTTTGAATTAAATCAACCGCCATAGGTGTGGCTTACAGGCTTAAGACTGTAAGACGCCCATGTATGTACAGGCACCCTCAAGCTTGTTTCTCTGATTTATAGACACTCGGCACTGCACGGCTAGTTGTGTATACTTTTATAATGATCCTGTACGTGATATCATTAAGTAGCGTAAAAAAAAACAGTGCTAGCAAATAAATCTTTACCTGATGGAAAAAAGTTATTAAAAAATAAAAACATATTCAAATCCAATTTTTAGATAAGTAGGTATAGAGACCGATCACAGGTCACATACATTAGCAGCTGCAGCTACACTATCTACACAATAAAAAGTATCATCGAGCGCCCAGAGTGCTCTTAAAAATAATTAATACCTAATAAATAAATAAATGTGTAACATATATTATAATTGCAGCGTTATTAGTTGTACATTTCTGGAAAGTAGTATCTTCAGTAGGTAACATAGGGTGACATAGGGTAACAATTACAAACTATCAAAATATGTATATATGTATGTATATCTGTATAAAAGTTGTTTTGTTTTGACACAAGAGAATGTAGGGTTAGAATTCATATGATTCGTACAAACTCTTTAATCTTTTTCAACTGATCAACTATCAACCGTGAAATTTTGTCAATTAAGCTTAACAAGCTTTATTCGGTTGGAATACAAGCACAATCAATTTATTTTCTACCGAAAATTTGTTGGGTGGTTAGTGTAAGTATGTCAAAATTCTACTATCCACACGACATAAATTGATGGGACGCTGGCAATTGACAAAAAAATTTTTTATTTTATACGTACACACATATAGACAAAGAATCTTGTGCTGTTATTAATTATATCGGTTTTTTTCTTTTTTCATTTGGTTTTTTTTTCCAAACCCGTTAGACAGACACACAAGTATTGATAGCATAAATGTGTAAATTTTTTTTCTTACGTAGATCACAAGTGGATTGAAAATACTCAACCATGGCTTTGAGAACTTACGGAGATAAGCCAATTAGTTTCCAAGTTGAGGAAGGTGGAGAATATTATTGCATTGGATCTGAAGTAGGCAATTACCTGCGCCTCTTTAGAGGTTCACTATACAAGAGATATCCTGGCATGTACAGAAGATCAATCACAAATGATGAAAGAAAAAAACTCGTCGAGCTGGGTCTTAGTCAACATGTTCTTGCCTCCAGTGTTTCCCTTCTCCGAGCCAGTGAAGTTGAAGATATAATTGAAGGTAATGATGACAAGTACAAAGCTGTATCGGTACATTCTACAGAACCACCAGCCCCTCGGGAAGGCAAAACCAAGAAATCTATGGCATGGGTTCCAAGTTTACCAAACAGTTCACATTTGGATGCAGTTCCTCAAGCGACCCCAATCAATAGAAATAGGGTGCACAATAAAAAAGTCAGAACTTTTCCATTATGGTAATGGTTATTTTAAAACACAAAAAAAAAATTTATATCTACAAATTTTTATACACAACCAATGCTTGAAAATCAGTTTCAAATTTCTTTAACCTAGTTACGATGACACTGACCCATCATCGAATTTGGAAAACGCTGCGCAACAAGAAGTCTTGGTTCCAATTCGCTTGGACATGGAAATAGAAGGTCAAAAATTACGAGATACGTTTACGTGGAATAAAAATGGTATTACAGGATTTTCCCATTTTTTATTTTTTATTTTTGCCTTTTCCAAAGCAACTATTTAAAATGAATCCATCAAAATAAAATGTATTTATTTCAGAAAGTATTATTTCTCCAGAACAGTTTGCCGAAGTTTTATGCGATGATTTGGATCTGAATCCATTGACTTTTGTGCCTGCCATAGCTCAGGCAATTAAACAACAAATAGAAGCATTTCCTCAAGAAGCAGTTTTGGACGAACAAAGTGATCAAAGAGTGATTATAAAATTAAATATTCATGTGGGCAATACATCATTGGTGGACCAAGTTGAATGGGATATGTCGGAAAAGGAAAATAATCCTGAAAAATTTGCAATGAAGCTGTGTGCTGAACTCGGACTTGGCGGGGAATTTGTCACTGCTATTGCCTACAGGTATATAAAACTTGAGTTTTTCAAGAATTTTGTTTAATAGGTTTGTTTGTAACTGCCAGTGTGAGAGGTCAATTATCATGGCACCAGCGCACATATGCATTCTCAGAAGCACCACTACCAACAGTAGAAGTACCTTTCAGACCACCTTCGGAGGCTGACATATGGGCTCCTTTTCTGGAAACCCTGACAGACGCCGAGATGGAGAAAAAAATACGGGACCAAGATAGAAACACAAGGCAACTATTTATTATTTTATGTTGTTTACTAATGACCCGTCGTAATTATTTCATCAATCATTACAACATTATTAATGTATTACAGACGTATGCGTAGATTAGCAAATACTACACCAGGCTGGTAAAACTTGAATGTGGTCTGAAAAAGCACTCTTACACAGGGATTCAAACACTTGAAAACTTGAATTGGAAAATTTGTATACCTAGTATTAATTATTTACAAGTAAAATATTATAATTTCTCTAAAAAAAATACCTCAAGTTCATTATTTACAACAAATCCTAGGCAAGCAAGTTTGCTTACAAGTGTTTTTGCAAACAATCGGACCTTGACCATTGACCGCAACGATTTTTCATTATTCAAATGGACTGATCAATTCACAAGAATACTTTTATAAACGTCCATGCCTCTCATACCTACTTAGTTGGCTGTTGTTTCCTAAAAGCACTCGAGTTCCGATCTTTGGCGCTTTAAGACTGATATTAACTTATTATTAATCATATTTAATTTTTGAAAAATTGAGGTAAAACGGTGGGTAAATTACTGATTAAATCAAGAAAATCCTTAAAATATGATAAAAAATTTAACTGTCAACTACGCGTGAACAAACAGTTTTCTACAAATAATAAGGGATTATTAACGAAAATGAGAAAACAACTACTTTGTTATCCCATAGCCCTGGAGGATGGTAATCGTGACCGTATATTTTATGTACTTATACCGATACACAAAATTCTAGAGTGCATGTACTCAATGTACTCATGCATGCACGGTACCTAGATACAACAGCAACATTCATCCAGTACACAAAGTACACACTGAGTACACACCCAGATAATACCAGTACAATGTATATAATTGTATACAAAATATTAGAGGTAAATGTTAGCGGTGACGACAGCTACTTATACTCTTTTTTGAGCGAGTTCATATAGGTTGCTGTGTGAGAAAGAGCGAGGGAGGTAGTGGAGGGGGGGAGGCAAAGAAACAACAAAAATGTGTATATATATAT